AAAAAAAAAAGCAAAAAAAAGATACAAAATATACAAGCAAAAGGCAACAACTCCCCGGTCTCCAGCAGTCGCCCACCCTCCCTTTCCTTCTCTCCTGCTGGCCATCTGCCTTGGGTTTTCCTTTGTGTCTGATCTTTTACTACTGAGCCGAGCGCAGGAGGAGGGTGCAACACACACAGGGACTATGCCCAGCTCGCTTTTTGCAGACATGGAGAGGAACGGGAGCGGCGGCGGCGGCGGCGGCGGGGGTGGAGGGGGAGGGGGAGAGACCCTGGATGACCAAAGAGCCCTTCAGATCGCCCTGGATCAGCTCTCCCTGCTGGGGCTGGACAACGACGAGACGGGCTCCATTTACGACAGCGAGCCTCGGAAAAAAAGCGTGAACATGACCGAATGCGTCCCGGTGCCCAGCTCGGAGCACGTCGCCGAGATAGTGGGGAGACAAGGTGGGTGACTGCGTGCGAGGGGGTGTGCGGGGAGCGGGTCTCCCCGCCGCGCTGCCGGGCGGGCGGCTCAGATGCGACACTGGCCGTTCCCAGGCAAACTGCAGCCGGTACCGTGGTGGCCAGTGCCGGCTTCCCCCAGACAAAGAAAGTGCAGCAGCAGCAGCCGTGATGTTTCCGAGGAGCGTTATGCATCAGTTTCGAGATGCACTTTCAGCTGCCGGGAGGGGAGAAAGGAAAGGAAAAAGGCAAAAAAAAAAAAAAAAAAAAAATATCGCGAAAATAATATAAATCCTTCCTTTCCTCCGGCTGCAAAAGTTGGATTTGCAAGAGGAAACGGGAAGAAAATGGGAGCCTCGGTGCTTCCCCCCACTAAAGTTAGAAATCGTGGATTATTTTTAAGGAAGAGAAATGGAGTGGGGAAGTGGAACAATGGGATTGGAATAAAGCATCCGCAGTGGGGAATGTGGCTCACTCGGTACAGCCGCTGCTCCTCACCTTCTCAAGAACTGATTTTATTTTTCCGAAAGGAAAGTGCTGAGCAGGAATGTGGACTGGCGGGTGTGTTGATTTGTTAGGGGTGCTTGCACTTTATTTGATTATATTTTATTTTATTTTTTTTTCTGATCGTGCAGTTTTTCTGCATGCTCCTTTTCTCATTGCCGATCCTGGGAACTGCACGTTGGTAGTTTTTGGGGCAGTTTGCATGGCAGAGGTGTCGGTGGCCACTTGTGATGCCGTTGGGCGTGTGCCAGGGCTATGGGCTGACATGACTTTACACTGTGACTGGGGCTCCTGGACGAGATGCCAGCGATCACCTGGGGCAGGGGGCAACGTGTTTCGGGTGGGTGTGCGTTTCTTCCCCCTCCCTAGCTGCACCCAAATAATGGGTTGTAACCGGTTCTTCC